TCTCGTGGAGGTGGAGGGGGGAGGGGGACTTAGTGATAATGTGACCATGGTTATAAAATTTCTTATTGCAATTATGAGCAATGTGGCCAAACTATTTACAAGAAAAACATTGAACATGCTTCATATCACAACTTTTATCAATATCTTGAGTAAGATAGGTTGTGGTAGCTTGGAAGCATTGTGGTCATGTGACATGTTGCTTTGGGTGAGTAGACGTTGCTCTTCTCGAAGAATTTCACTAACACAAACCTTCGAAGAAGGAAAAATGTTGTGATTCAATAAATCAACTCGAGCAACTTCAAATTTTGAGTGAAGCTTCATTAGGAATTGATCATGTTTGCTGATTTAAAAAATTGTTTGAATAACAACAAGCAAACCCATAGAATTATCAACATGTAAAATTGTTGAATGTTCAACTCACAAATTAAGAAAATATGAGTAATAGTAATGAATGGACATAGAACTTTTTTAATAATTTGCAATATCGAGTTTGAGCTAAACACGTCCCTTTGGGTTATTTTTTATTGTAAGTAATCTTCAAGTTATCCAAGACAGCTGTGGAAAAGGATCGCAAATTATTAACCATTTGAGGCTCAATTGAGGTAAGAATGCAAGAAATAATGTATGCATCCTTGTTTTCTTATGTAACCAATGCAATTGTGTATGTTCGAGATGATCCAATACTATTCTTTCCCTTTCACAAACATTTGAAACTAAAATGTCTAGGCAATATCATTGTTTCTAGTAAAGCGAGCATAAAAACTATTAATTTGAAGGTCATGAAACTACAAACAAAAACCAAAAAGAACAAGACCCACAAACTTGAAATATACCCCTAAAAAAACTCCAAACCAAAAGTGAAAGGACTAAAACATCGGAGCTAGAAGAAAAACCAAAAAGTCAAGAGCAAGAGAGCAACCAAGGAATGCATTGAGGAAGAAATCATTAGTCTGTCCAAGAACTTAATGATTCCAATGTCATGTTTTATTACCCAGACACTTACAATCATAAATGACACTAATGACACAATTATTCTAATTTGTATAATTAGACAATTTATAATTATATACATTAAAGAGTTAATCATTTATACACTGTCAGTGTAAAATTTAAAATTTTTTTTTACACTGATAACCAATTATATTCTTTAATTGTATCATATCACTGTAAATACAATTACTTTTAATAGTGACATGACACAATTAAAAGATATAATTGATTGTCAGTGTAAAAAAAACTTTACACTAGCAGTGTATAGGTGATTAACTCTACATTAATATACAAAGATTATATACACCATAAAGTAGGTAGCAATGTAGCATATTATTGATAGGATCCTTATTGACAAATTTCACATACAACTGTCTTTTATATTTTTCATATCAAATAAACCATATATTATCTAGAATGTTGTAACCCAATATCAAAATGAAGTATATATGTTGATCTTCAAAATTAAATATTATCTCTTTCAATTAATTTTATATTTACTTCAATATTTATTTAACCCTTATCTCTTTGAATACATCCTTTTTCTTATTTTTTTAATCTCTTATCTCTTTGAATATATTATTTTTCATATTTATTTCAATATATATTTTTTAAAATATTATCAATAGTTAAAAATAATTTTGTATCATAATATATATTATTCATCATAAATCTAAAATATAATTTATATGCTTAAATATATTTATTTATTATAAATTTCAATTAAAATACGATATATAATTAAAGAAATATTTATTTATTATAAGTTTTGGTTATATAAAATAAATAATTATCATGTAAATTGTAAGTAGGCTAAAATGCTTCTATATTTTAAGTATCTTATAATTCAAATAAAATTAGTTTTAATTTCTATATTTTAACATCAATAATGTGTAGGATTTTGTCTCTGGTTTTATATTTTATTTTGAAGTAGCCAAAGAAAAACCACACCCCATTTATGAAGTATAAGGATTAAACTATCCTAAAATCAATTTTGTTCAAATCTTGATAGAATATTTAAGACACATTTTACCTTTTTGAAAAATACTATAATGATCCGAAATAGATCAATGGTATATTTGGATACCTCCTCGAATCAATTTTGACTTCCAAAATCATGGTAAAAAAATGAAGCAACTATTTGTTACATTAATTTGGGCTACAACATAATTTTGTAATTGATTTTAACATAATTGAAAGCTAGTTCAAACACAAACTTAACCTTACATAGAATTAGAAGGACAAACAGGTAGTCTAGATTTGGTCCAAGATAAGGAGCTGCAATCGTTATATATTCTCCTACCAGGCTCCAAAAACATGCACATCCATCCCTCTAGCTATAATATAATATTCCTAGCTAGCTAGGGGCCGGGTCTTATTCAAGGGTACTCTTGGTATGTTCACTCTTCTGCATACATTCTATATCAATGTGTTTTTGCATGTGGACGACTGTCGTCACTAATAACTGACAGAATGCTTTCACAAAACGATCAAACCACCCCCATGCACTTGTACTACTATGCTTGCATTTGAATACTTCAGGATGTAATTGGTTTATCACATTTCTTGAATATATAAGAATTTACCTTTCATGTGATTTCTATGTTAGGACTCCACTTCATGTCTTCAATGCAAACTAGGAATAGTGAGTGATTTAATTGTGTGATATATATTAATACAAGTCATTGTTCTTAGGGCTATATAAGCCGTAAACCTAAGGTTATAAACTTGGAGAGTTGATTAATATATTAATATATACCTTGAAATTACTCTTGTAAAAAAAAAAAAACTTAAGAGATATGGACAGAATAGAGAAAAGTACCCACCTTTATGGTTTGATTAGGACAAATTGGTGGTGGGGAAAAGAATTGCTTGTTTTTTGTGCTTGTTCTATTAGCGTGTTTGGTTTAGATTCAGAAACGTAATTTTTCATTCTCTCTCCACGTTTACAAGACAATTTACGTGGAAGCTACAATTTTTTGCTTCTCATAAATGTGAATTTTCACGTCCAAAAGTTAAAGCAAACACGCAGCATGTGTTTGTATAACTGTGCGTTACAGCATTCACGCATAGTTGCAACTACAAATTCTTCCGCATGTGATTCACCCTCTGAGACTATGTACGCGTATTTTAATGTTTAGTCAAAATCAAGTGATAGAAAGAACTGCACGCCTATATAGGTTCAATTGTCTGCCTGTAAAAAAGCTGTACACTAGGTTTTGTTTTTATATCATTTTTAGAATACAGATTTTGATGTAGCCAAATTAACCATACATACATACCATATGAAGAGTTTTAAGAATAAATGAACCACACTGGCTAGCTATTTGTGGGGCCATTATATTATAGAATGAAATTAGGAACTATTATTATTTTGGTCCTTCTAAAATTTATATATCTTGTGATCATAATCATTTTCAGTTACTGTTATACTTAGGTAATTGCAACAAGGATGCATAATTGCACTAGCTCTTTAATCTACAGTCAACCATGCTGCTTTGCTGGGAATTCACTATTGGTAATCATCACTGTTCTCAATAAAGTATATAGTAGCCAAATAACAGCTTTCAGGTACCATGATTTCCACATTTTAAAATAAGGTAATTCACTGTTCCCTCCCTTTCTCTTTTAGAGTTGCTCTTGCTCAACAAATATGAATGGCTGTTTCTGATTGCAATCTTTCTCTTTTGGTCAGTTACCAGGTCAGTTTTCATTGACATCTTATTATTTTATTATATTCTTATGGTGATTATTCCATATAACTTTCTACTTTTTCTTCTTTATAGAGAAAACTAACGTACCATGATTCCCACATTTTAAAAATGAGAGTACTATTTCCCTCCCTTTGAGCTTATCTTGCTCTCTTTTCTTGTTTTGGTTAGTGACAAGGTCAGTTTAAATTGACATCTCATTTTTTTATTATATTGTTATGGAGGTTACTCCAAATAATATTTTACTTTTCTTTCTTTATAGAGAAGAAAACTAAAAGAAATAACATATATAGAAAGGAAAGGTGTGAGAGCATAAAATACGCCATTCATCAGTTTTATACAGTACTATAGTCTGTCTGTTATCTGTGCAACACTGAAAGAATAATGGCACATAATCTTAAGCAGTCATTTAGAATCTACCTTGGAAAAACCAGATAGTTTTAATCAGTAAAATTTAGAATGATGAAAACAATATTTCAACTTAAAAACTTATATATACGAATTCAATCTTCTACTATCAGGTCAATTCTAGTCATTCGAAAAAGAAGAAAAATAGGTTCAATCATTTACAATGAATTAAATATAAAAGAGGGCCATTTAACTGCAAGTGGATTCTGTGAGTGATGGTTTGGTTTGTGTATGTTGAAGGCCCAAACCAACAAAATTGACTATAGCACAGACAGGTTAATCAAGTTGTTTGGACCTATTTTTAAAAAGGTTATTATAAAAAGACATCTATTTATTTTCAGCTTTCTTTATTTCCTTGCATTATTTATCACCTTCTACCTTTACCTTTTTTTTTTTCTATCTCTCTTCCTAATGTGAAAAGGAAAAAATAAGTATTCTTGAACACACTTAGACGTAGACATCTTCAGAAAGATAAGAAAAAAATTGATAAATCATTGATAATATGACAAGAAAAAGGTAAAGAAAAATTAAAATGTGTCACTTAAATGTTTAAAAATTATGAATGTCCAAATACTATTACTCTTTTCAAATTCTGAGAGTGGAATGGATGATCTATATTTTTTTTAAGAAAAATTGCTGGTATAGTTAATTAAGATTTTAATTACAAATATTTAAATAATTGGATCACAGTATCCTAAAAAATTAAAAAAAAAATTAAAAAAAAAAAAAACGAGAAGAGCCTTGCAAGTACCAACCATAGCAATTTTGTCATGGTGAACTCTCTTGTTCATTAGTCATAAGCTTAGATCGTTTAAAAAATCAAGAGATTCAGTTCTACACCTGGGAAAGTATGCAACATGCCGTACAAGAACAGAGAGAGAGAGAATAATCTTATTTTTTAACAAATTAATGCTGGTAAACTCAGGCTATTAATTGAAACAGTAAACTCCATCAAAATGCAACAGCATTTCAAATGAAAATGCCTCTTTCTTCTCTTACTACAAGGTTTTCTCCTCACTCTCTTACTCACCAACACCGGTACTGGCAAGTGTAGCTATTCATTAACTCCCACCAACTGCATTTTTGTAGCAAACTGAGAACAAATCCTGCTATCATCTGAACCATTCTTTGAACTACAGTGCTGCTGAGACTGTTTGCAATGAGCAATGGCTCCCTCAATTGAACTTTCCAGCTCATAATTTGCACTTATGCTCCTCTTGAAAAGTTGCAAGTCATAGTACCCAGCTGAGCTGAAAGAAAAAGATGAAGATGAAGAAGAGGACCCTGATGAAGATGAGGACAGAGACGAAGCCTTGGTGGCACAATGTCGTTGACCAACCCCAGAAAAAGACCTTCTGTGGTCACAGAAATCATCTTCAACTTCAAGGATTTCCCTTTTAATGGTCTTCATGACAGCACAAGTTAGCTGTTGCTTGCTATCATAAAAACCCTCAAAAGGACTTCTCCTTGCAACCTTCATGTACTTGTTTTGACAATCTTTGCACTTTGATTTCTTCTCCACTCCCATGTTGCTTGCAGCACTGGCACAGAACTTGTCTGAGCAACCAGATTTGTTGAACAAAGTTTTGAGATAAGCTCTTGAGGCCTTGAGTCTCTGACCTAGCCAGAACTGCTTCATCTGTTTGAGTTTCTTGGGCCAAGACTTCTTGGGAAGATTATCACCAATAAGGTTGTTCATGTCAGAAAACCACCCTAGTTGGTATTGAGTAGGGCTCACATCACTGCTAACTCGGCGTGATTCTGAAGGTGAGATGATGGATTCAAGAGGGGTGTTGGCATTTGTTGAAGGTACTCTAAGGTTAGTGGTGAATGGAAAGTTTGTGTGTTCCAAAGCTGAGTGTGATTTCAGTTTCACACACTCAAAGTTGGCATTGGAGTTCTCTATGAGCTTTTGAACCATTTGCAAACGAGGGGGGAGGTGAAGAGGGAGGAGTTTTCCCTTGTAGAAGAGATCATCAGCTGGTGAAGCTGATGACTCTTTCTCATTCATTTGGAATTCAAACTCTCTATTGGATGGTGGAGAGCTAAGAGAATAGGAGAAGAAGTTGGGAGAGGAACACAGTTCCATGTCAATGTAGTCATCATCCACATGAATCAAAGTAACTTGTTTTGTGGCCATTTCATGTGACTCTCTCTTGTGATGATGGTTTTTTCTCTATTTGTATCTGTCAGAGTATGGAGATAGATGCCTATGGGAAATTGAGCTTCCTCAAGGAAAGAGGGCAGCCTATTCTTTAAAAAGTGATGATGTTGCCAAACTTCGTAATACAAAAGATATTTTATTCATTTATTTATATTGTTTATGAGATTTTAATCTTATCACCTTTGTCTTCACTTTACTTTTCTACCATTCCAAATAAATACCTCTACGTTAATACAAAAGAAAATGTTATATTTTTTTTATAAAGTATGTATGCTGCTTTTCAGGCATGAAATGAAGGTATTATTTTATCTTTGAATTTTTCCCCCTACTAGAAGTCATTGCCTTATTAAATATTTTATTCCTCATTTTTAGTGTATCCAAGTGTATAATAAATAATTATTGGCTCCCAGAACATGCATAACTGTGAATAATCCAGAATTTTCGAAAAAGTTTAAATGGGATTCAAATTTGTGGTCCTGTGGCATGCAGAGATAATGTTAGTCAGTGAGTGTGTAGTCATAGGTGAAGGTTTCATCTTTATTTTTATTTATAACTTTTTTCTCTCTTTTTTCCCCCATTATGTATATTCCTCCAAGGCACTACGAATGCACTGTAGAGATAGATGCAGTTATCCACACCAGCATCTGTAAAAGTAGTAATAAAGAGAGCAATGATGATCCTTGAAAGTACCTTGGTTGCTTTCATTATTCTTTTTCCTTTCCCTTTTTTCCCATTTTTCCGTTGTTTACAAGTTCAATCCAAGATAGATTTAAATTTGGTTTATTGAATACTAACAATTACTTTTAGTGTTGAAATAGTTAAGGCAAGCTCCACTTAAGCTGCACATGAGATTCAAATTCAGTCCCTATAACGAATGGTCCGTAATTAGTGGTTAACATAATTGGTCCAAGCCATGTGTTAGATGAACAATTTCATTCTTCTATTGTCCTGTTCCATTTGAGTTTGATACATCAAAGTACAAATCGAGAATCTGCAACTCAAAGGGAGATGTTGACACTGGCCTTGTTTTTATTGAGAGTTTCAATGTAACGCACTAAACCTTCCAATTCGTTGCATGACAAGCAAAGTGTGAATCGAATGATTCATATACTAGATTGAACCTAATGAGGAAGCAGGTACATGATACATGTACAAGGGAGGTCTCAATGAAATGAATCTACATCCTTGTCTAATCTACATATCCTTATCTTCTTATACATGATTAAGGGTCCAGGCCTGCACAATACGTGTATGGAAAGCAGCGATTCATAATGTTAAGTAAGACACTATAGTGTGTTACTAGTAAATAATGATTGAACTTTGAAAATGGATAAATTAAATATTTACTTGAAACATAAATGAAACATGGTTTGTCAATTTTTTTGTTCATTAACCCATGGACTTAGTTAGGTATATGTACTATCCGTACTGCTATGCCGAACTCAAGTTCGGCATCACAGCGCGGAGTGATCTCGGACACGCGCCGCGCGACATCGGCCAAGACAAGGCCTACCATCTAAACAGATTATAACCGATCTCAGGCCCAAGGTCCAGAAAAATCCTTATTCACACTAAGGTACGTGCATTACGGATACGAGACCCATCCATCCACAAACACTAACTTTAGCATCAGAGTCTCTTTTGTAGGTACCACCCCCACTTGGAACAATAACCATACCCAACGAAAGAGGCTCACCGATCTTGCCCAGCAGATCATCCCTACGACCGATCTCCGGTAAGAACATTTGGCGCCCACAGTGGGGCCGATCGAGACAGCTCTTATCGGCCATGCTTATGGTTTTCACCCGAAGCCATAGTAGACGCGCAACAAACGACTTCGATCGCACGACAAGCATGGATAGCGAAGAACCACTAAGAAGACTGATTGAACAGGTCGAACAGATGCGGCAGCAACACGCCGTCGACCTGCAAAGCATTCGTGCCAAGCACGAAACCGACCTAGCAGCGCTACGTGCCGCGAATGAAACTGACCTAGCGGCGCTGCGCGCCGAGAATGAGCGCATTCGCGCCCAGCTTCCTCGGCGCCCTTCTGAACAGCCCCCTCAACCGAGTAATCAACACGAGGAAGAAAGGCACTCGGTCTCTCAAACACCGACTACACCTAGGGCACCGACCCCTAGGCCTGCCACACATCGGTCGCACACACCAACGAACAGGTCGGCCCATTAAGTCAGCAATGTGCCCGCCCAAGACCCGGGGCATAGGACGAGCATCCGCCGCCACCCCTTTGTCGATGGAATTATGGAGACGCCCCTCCCTTTTGGATGGAAGCCTCTCAACATCGAACGCTACGATGGCACGACGGACCCCGACGAGCACGTTGATCTGTATATCACACAGGTAAACCTATACACTAATGAAGATGCTATTCTGTGTAGGGTTTTTCTGACCTCGCTCAAGGGAGCAGCGCTCAACTGGTACACTCAACTACCAGTGGAGTCGATTGACAATTTCGACACTCTAGTAAGGCGATTCACGGTGTAGTATGCCACGAGTCGACCTCACCACATCACATCAGCCGCCTTGGCCAGCCTTAGACAGGGCGACGACGAATCACTAAGGGCGTTCATGGAACGCTTCGCCAGTATCTCAGTCAAGATTCGAAACCTGAACCCCGAAGTCGCCCTACATGCCATGCTCATGGCGCTCAAGCCTGGACCTTTCGTGGACAGCCTGTGTCGACGATCTCCTCTTGACATGGACGAACTCCGTGCCCGAGCTACAGGGTACATCCGGATGGAAGAGCACTCTGCTTTTCGTGACCAGGTTCGCGAAAAATCACAAGCAAAGCCAGACCATGGTCACAAGAACAAGATGAAGGTCACCAATGACAGCCAGTTCAAGAAGGCTGCTCGGGCAAACAAAGGAGGGAGATACGACTTTTACACCCCCCTAAGCGCGCCCCGAGTGCACATCTTGGAGGAAGCCAGCAACAACAACTTGCTCACTCTGCCACCACCCCGGCACAGTCCCAATAACGCGGACAGATCAAAGCATTGCCGGTACCACAGAAATCACGGTCACACCACTGAGGAATGTCGCACACTCCAAGATCGTATAGAGGAACTCGTCCAGGCGGGACACCTTGGACAATACGTCCAACGGTAGTAAAGTCACCGAGAAGGCTACAACGGACAAGGGTGAGGGCGAGGTTGAGGTCCAGGCACTCGCACAGATCAACCCTCTAGATCTCAACAAAATGTTGGTGGCACGGTGTAGGCCGAGGTAAGTCAAGAAACAGGGTCAGCTCCCTTGCGGGGAGTTATCAACACAATTGCAGGTGGCTTCGCAAGGGGAGACTCTAGCAGCTCGGCGCGAAAAAGACATTTGCGCAGCATCAACAATGTTCACTCCACTATCTCGGCCCCGCACCAAAGCACACCACCAATAACCTTCACTGACGATGACTACTCTGGCGTCTGTCCAAACCAGGATGATCCCATGGTCATCGCTATAGAGGTCGCCCAATTGGGAGGTCCACAAAACGCTGATCGACCAAGGAAGCTCGGCTGACGTTCTATACTGGCCAACATTCCTAAGGTTAGATATCCCTCACTCCCTTATCCAACCTCACAGAGAACCTCTAGTCGGTTTTGCAGGAGAGCGATTTCACACTCGAGGGTATGTGGATCTGCTGACAACCTTCAGAACTTCTCCTGACTCAAGAAGGATCATGGTCCGCTACCTTCTCGTCGAAGCCAACACATCCTACAATATCATCATTGGAAGGCCGATATTAAACCAACTCGGAGCAGTGGTATCTACCCCACACCTCACGATGAAATTCCCAGGAAGTGGTGGCAAGATCATTTCTGTTAGAGAAAACCAGAAGACAACACGACAGTGCTACGCCGAAAGTTTGAAGGTCTCATCATCCGAGGAACGCCGCAAAAGTGACCCTCCTACAGTAGCTCATATCACCCAGGTCGACATCACTGACCTGGATCCGAGGTTGGATTCTCATGACGAACGGCCAAGTCCCATTGACGAGATTGATGACCTTCAGGTTGGAAAATTTCCTAAACAATGCACAAAAATAAGCAGGCAGTTAAACCCGGAGTTATGACAGTAACTTGAAGCTGAAATCTCCAAGAATGTCGACCTCTTTGCATGGTACAGCACCGACATGCCAGGTATAGATGCTAACTTCATCTGTCACAGGTTGGCAATCCACAAGGAGGCAAAACTAGTGGCCCAGAGGAAGAGGAAGGTCAGGGGTGAGAGACGAGAAGCCATCATCACCGAGAAGTCAGATACACCACGTGACTGGCAAACGTGGTACTGGTGAAGAAGAGCTCGGGGAAGTGGCGCATATGTGTCGATTACACCGACCTGAATAAGACATGTCCCAAGGACTCATACCCCCTACCGAGCATTGATAGACTGGTTGATGGAGCATCCAAACACGCCCTACTCAGCTTCCTGAACGCCTACTCCAGGTACAACCAAATCATGATGTACCCACCTGACGAGGTGCACACGTCATTCATTACTGACCACGCCAACTTTTGTTGCCGAGTGATGCCTTCCGGTCTCAAAAATGCAGGAGTCACTTACCAACGGCTGATGGACAAAGTTTTCCACCAACAGATTGGGCAGAATATGGAGGTCTACGTTGACGACATGGTGGTCAAAACAACCTCAGCCGAAGATCATGTTGTCGACCTGGCCGAGGTGTTCAGCCAGATCAAAGAACACAACATGCGCCTCAACCCAGAGAAGTGTGTTTTCAGCGTCCAGGGAGGTAAATTCCTCGATTTCATGATCACCAACAAGGGCATTGAAGCTAACCCGGAGAAGTTGATAGACCATGGGCCAAGGGCCCAGTTACCAGAGCTATGGCTAGAAGAATACAGGAAGAGTTGGACCTTGTGAAGACTAGTGGGCTTGTCAAGCCCAAGGTAATCTTCACTTGGAATGCTCTATCATGAAGAGAAGGCCTAGTTCTACTTGTTTATATTGTACAGTTTATACATAGCCTTTTGTATAGGTTATTTTTTGCCTTTGTATT